TTTTATCCATATCAATAATATAAAATAGAATGAAAATTCTCTGGTGGGAAAGAAAAGTTTTATAGTAAGTATAATTAATTAACAATAATGTCTAATTTCTATTAGTGTGATCCGTAATTAATCATATATATTAATTTTATTTAATTAAAGAACTCAGTGGCTAGTCTTAATAAATTAAAATTATATGGGATCACTAGACCATTAAAATCACATAAAGACTGTTGACGTAATATGATGAGATGTACATAACAAATACTAAATGATTATTATGCTATGACAAAATATTATCATAAGCAAAAAACAATATGCATAATGAAAACTTAATAGTATGCCTTTATCAATATATACTCATCAAAAATGCATGTAGAAAGATTATAATCAATCATGAAGATAAATATGAGCATAATTAACTAGGATCTGCCAATTCTAAACTATACAAAAAAATGCATGTAATTAAACCAAAATATAATAGGCATAATTTAAATGAGCAGAATAGAAATAGTATAAAATTTATTTTAGCAATCCATGACAGAAAACGTTAAGGGCTTGTTGGGCACAAGTTGCACTCCTTTACATGAGATCATGGGTTCAAAGTCCTAGAGTGCAGGAGTAAACAAAAAAAAATTTTTTTTTTTCTAATTGACAAGAAAACGACAATGATTTCACATAAAAGAAGGACATTGTCATTCTAGTAGTCTTCAACTTTGAGTGATCTGTAATGGATACCCGACCCGCGGAAAACGGACCAATAGCAAAACGGGTGGAAATCCAATATTAAACTCACAAACATAATTGATTCAATAGCTCAGAAAGTGATAACATCCAATTCCTAATTCAATTATATGTTTATTTTTGTTAACAAAAAAAATGAGCTAAAAAAAATTGTCAAACGTGCCAGGAATGAATAGAAGAGCTTCAAAAAATAATCTTTTTCAAAACATCAAGACGAGAGGTATTATATGGCTCTATACCCAACTGTAAGACAATTTCATGTAATATAACAAGCAAATACAAAGAATATAGATATTCTTAAACTATAAACCAGGGTAATCAAGAATTACTCGCCAGCCATTGAAACACCTCACGCAAACTGTATTGATCTCAAGCCTCAAACACTCGATACTAGTGAGGTGTAATATTAGTAAACCGAGTTCTTGAGCTTTAGGGACCAAAATAATATACATAGTGCAAGCTGCCAGCAAGCTCTAATGGTATGCCTAATGGTTGCCATAAATCCCAAACGGTTGAAAACTGAAGCGTTGAAAAACTGAAGCATTTTGAAAAGCTTGGAACAACTAGGATGGGACCATCAGGTTTAAAACTGATGAAAATCCAAAAGGTTAGTATTACGATCTACTACATGTAACGTAAGTTTTACATGTAGATGACAACATATAAATTTGCGGATCTGTGATCCTGCACAACTAGCGCCCATGAAACTATAAAGCAGAAAAGGATGGGTCCCTTTCTGAGAACATTCCACTGCTACAAAAGATTGAACCAACAATCAAAAAGCAGAAATGAACTCTGGAATCTAGACGTGCTCCGCTCCTTCTCCTCTGCTCCATCTAAGTCCCACTGTTGTCATGGTTTCGTGTTTCGTAAAAACAATAAGTATACCAGTGGAGTGAGGTACATATGAGTTTACATTTCATGTTAAAATGAACAACCACCTGCCAAACACCGTGCAAATTTCAAATCATGAATTCTTTTCTTCATAAAAAACACAATTCCGTTGTTTCATCTCAACTAGAACCTTTTTTTTTTTTTTTCAAGGAAAAAAAAAGGAAGACTATATGAAGAAATATAGAAGTAGAGAACAAAATATAATGAGGGGGGGAAACACAACTTCTTTATTAACTCAATGATATACCAACATTTGGCGTCACATATTTCCGATGCATATTGCCATTTTGATAACCATTTGGTCGAAATTTTAATACAGGCCAAAAGAATTTTTATGTCAAAATCTCTATAAATATTTTTGTAGGGCTGGTTAACGTAAGACTATTGTATTCAGCCATCTCACAAAAATACATCTTTTACCAAAGAGGTCATAGGTTGTCTTCTAGTTTTCAATACAGGAAAAAAAAAAAAAAAAATAAAAAAATAAAAAGGATGGGGATATTAATGAAGGAAAATGCTTGAGCAAAATGTTTAAAATAAAAGAGGATATTCTTGACATTTTCAAAACTTTAATAAGTTAAAAATAGTTTGTAATACCTATAAGCAGGGGCGCACCCAGGCCATTGAGAGTAGCCTGGCTCACCCTCAAAGGAGTACAAATAAAATTAACAATATTTTACTTTTAATTTTATGGGATCAACCAAAAGTAGGTGGAGGACTGCCACGAGAAGCGGAGGGCATGTTTATTTATCAAACTACAATTTTACATGCGACAAAAACCACCGCAACTTAATGATGCAAAAATGCCTCTGCAATACACCATCTTTTCCTCTTAATGAGAAGCTTTGCGGAGAAGAAGAAACAATCTTAATGTCATTCCTAGCATGATGTCCTTTGAAATTTTAGTAAAAACAGTTAATTCTATGACAAGAGATTTTATAAAGTTAGAGATCTTCTAAAGTTCCAGCTACAGTAAAATTGACATCAGAGAAACTTTATAAATTATCCCCCAAACCCACTTCTAATTGACCTGTACCAATTTTTGTGAAATAAAAAAAAAAAAAAAGGCAAAAACAACTTATATAGATATTGAAAAGAAGGGTCATTCTTTTTAAACAATAATTGTCAATTTGTGTGACAAACTGATATAAAGACTAACTTTTGAACCAAACTCACGCCCCCGTCGTCTTCTCTTCAATTTCAACCCTTAAATTATAGGTATTCAGCGTTTGTTCAACTGGGTTTCGTGATGTTTGGTACCGAGAAAGGAGGTTGATTTTTCCACTTTTTCTTTTATGTTGTTTTATTTATTTTTTGTTGAATTCTTAGTTTTTTCGTTTTAACTGGTTTCCTTGATGGAAAAATGCGGAACAAAGTTTTGTTATATATTTTTTTTTTTTTTATTTTCTTATCTTAGTAATCTTTCTCTTAATTCTATAGTTTTATTTTATTTTATTAAGCTATTTTTAGTATGTTAGGTTGCTGAGAAGAAAAGATGCTAAGTTTTGTCATTTTTTTGCACAGTTTTGTTTTGTATTTTGTACTGAGTGAATCCCTTAGCAACGAGTCTTGCCTTGTATCTCTCAATGTTGCCCAATGAGTCCTTCTTTGTCTTAAAGACCCATTTACATCCAATGGCTTTTACACCATTAGGCAACTCAACAAGATCCTAGACTTCGTTACTCTTTATAGAATTCATCTCTTCCTTCATGGCACTGTACCATAATTCTGATTCTTTGCAACTCATGGCTTTTGAAAAGAACTTGGGATCATTTTCAACTCCAATGTTATAGTCAGATTCTTGCAGATACACAACATAATCATTAGGAATTGCTGATCTCCTTGGTCTAGTAGATTTTCTTAATGTTGTACCATCATATTCTGAAGAAGTATGTGGTTCAACTCATTATTCAAAAGTTCTTGGCAACTCTTGAACTACCTGATATACTGAAATGTTGTCAGCAGCTTATGGAACTTCAATGATTGATTGTTCAACACCAGTTTGTACTTGAGGGGTGCTGTAAACAATAACCAATTTATCACTTGAGGTGGCAGGTTGAGATTCTGAATGATCATTCTCAGAAACTATGTTCCTGGTTTGATCGCTCCCACTGATCAAGTCATTTTCAAGGAACTTTGCATTTCTTGATTCCACAATTCTAGTGCTGTGAGATGGACAATAAAATCTGTAACCTTTAGACCTTTCAGCATATCCAAAGAAATACCCAGTAATGGTCCTTGGGTCCAGCTTCTCTCTTGTGGATTATAAATTCTCACCTCAGACGGGCATCCCCAAACACGCATATGTCACAAACTCGGTTTCCAACCTTTCTATAATTCAAATGGCGTTTTAGGAACAGCCTTGGTTGGAACTTGGTTCAATATATACACTGCCATCTTAAGTGCTTCTGCCCACAAGGATTTAGGAAGATTGGAGCTGCTAAGCATACTCCGCACCATGTCCAACAATGTTCGGTTTCTTCTTTCTACTACACCATTCTGGTCCTGTGAACCAAGCATGGTGTATTGGGCAACAATCCCATGATCTTGAAGAAACTTTGCAAATGGTCCATGTGCTTGCCCATCCTCTGTGTATCTACCATAATATTCTCCACCTCTATCTGATCTTACGATCTTAATTTGCTTACCACATTGTTTCTCTACTTCAGCCTTAAAGATTTCAAAGGCATCTAATGCTTCGTACTTGTTATGAAGCATGTAGAGATACATATATCGTGAGTAATCATCTATAAAAGAGATGAAGTATTTCTGACCATGTGAGTCCATGTTTGGACTACATATATCAGTATGTATGATCTCTAATATGCCTGAACTCCTATTGGGACCTTTCTTTGACTTGTTGGTCTGCTTTCCCTTTATACAGTCCACACAAGTCTCAAAATCAGTAAAATCCAGAGTATTAAGTACTCCTTCATTTATTAATCTTTTAATTCTATCTATGGAGATATGTCCTAATCTCCGGTGCCATAATTTAGAGAAGTCCTAATTAATAACACATATTTTAGCACCAGTGTGAACATGCATTGAATCATAAGTGGCATTGTTTTGTAAATTAATGCAGTAAAGACCATCAGATAAAGTACCATTCCCAACACAATTAGATTTATAAAATAAGTTGAAAGATGAATCTGAAAAATTAAAGGAATANAATTTTAGCCCTAACTTCCTAATTTCTTTCTGGCCTGTCATTCATTAAACATTATTTCTTTAATAGTGAGGGGGACCCTTTTTTGCCTGTTAAGTCAGAGAATAAAACAACTTAACCCAAAACAATCATATAAGTTATTAAATTATCCAATAGTCTAACCCGCGTTAAAGAATGTTAACCAGGGGCGGAGCCAAATTTTTTTTCTGAGGGAGCCAGAAGTATTAGGGTATCACTTGATGACAGAGGCAAAACCAAAGCTGTGGAATTGGTCTCAGCCGTTTGTTTTTAAATCACCTTGTTAGTTAAAGAGGCTACAGCCGTGGAATTTGTCCCAGCCGTTAGTTTCTCAATTCTCACACTAACACTTGTAAAGTTAAAACTCAAAAGCACAACTAGATAAACCCTGGAACAGGTATCAGTCAACCTTCCAAATCTAAGAGAGAAACCTATCAACACAACGCAGTGTTTAACTTAACTAACTCATCATCATGGCCGGAACTCAATTGCTCCCTGAAGAATACGGATACGTTGCTCTCGTTCTTGTCTTTTATTGTTTTCTGAATTTCTGGATGACCTTCCAGGTCGGCAAAGCCCGCAAAAAGTATGTTTCTTCTCATCTCCATTTTTCTCTTTATTTTTTCTGGGTATTTTTTATCTCCACTGATCTTTTCTGTTTGGGAAAAAAAAAAAATAAGATATAACGTTCCTTATCCGACCCTGTATGCTATAGAATCTGAAAACAAAGAGGCAAAGTTGTTTAACTGTGTTCAGGTAATTGACTTGCTGGAAATGTTACAAAAATAATCTTTGGGTGATTCTTTGTTGTAACGAAAAAATATTTGTGTATTTGGATTTGGTGGTGCAGAGAGGACATCAGAACTCTTTGGAATTTATGCCTATGTTCTTCATGCTGATGATTTTGGGAGGAATTAGTCATCCTTGTATATGTGCTGCACTTGGCTTCCTTTATATTGTTACTCGTTTTTTCTATTTCAAAGGTTATGCAACCGGTGATCCTCAAAAGCGCCTCACTATTGGGTTTGTTTCTTCTTTCTTTTACTCAATCACTTTCTCATTGTTTAATAATCTCTATAGATACACTTTTATATACGAGGATTTTTTTTTTTCTATTACTTTAATATAAAATATTCTAATCCACATACTTGTGCATAGATAAAATTTTAGTGGTCTTAAGTTTTAAAATGTAGTTTTTAGTATTGATTTTTACTACTGAAGGAAAATTAAAGCCAATATTGTGTTGGCATAATATTGTTAATCTGCTGTTTGTGGTCAATGACAATACAAGACAATGAAGGATCAGAAATGTTAAAAATAAATGAATAAATAAAAGGATTAGACAGGTCTTTTGATGTTTATTCTTGTGTAGCGTGTCAATGAAAATTGTGAAAACATTGATAGGCATACAATTTTTGAAACCATATTATCATAGTTTACAATGACGCTTGAATATTGCATATTCGTACTCCTGTGATGTTGAAAGTGGGTACTTCATATGCAAAGGGGAAAGGTATAAAAAAGTTTCAACTGGAGGTGAATTCCTATTGAATCAGGCTGACAGTATAGAGACAAGTGTGATTGAAATGTGATGAAATATTGGTCCTCAGTCAGTTCAAATTGATATGCTAAAATGTTGGTTTCTAGTTGTGTAGAGTTATGAGTCCATTTAGTCTTTTCCTTTGCTTCTGTCCTGCCTTCCTTGAACCCTTGGCTGTGGCAGTAAATGAATATCAAAATGCCGGTTCAACGTAAAGGGCTGTAAATGATGTCCTTGAAAGTCCGCAGCTTGTTAGGTAAACTATTGCAATTAGCATTTTATACGACACTTAGATATTAAGCTAATAGGTGGCAAAAGGAAGCACCTCAAAATAAACAAAAGGTCAAGTTGAAGAAACGCTGCAATGCAATAACTTGCTTCTAAAGTTGAAAACACTGTTGAGAAATGTTAAGTGAAATAACTGTAGTCCTGTAGAGATTTGTGAAGTGAAAGTTTCAGTGTTTTAAATTATGACATGGTATCTCTATACAGCTACATCAAACTTGTATTAATTGATAAAATATACAATTTAGTAAGGCAGAAATAAGCACAAGATAAGAAATGTGAAGTAAATTCCTAATGCAGATTGATACCTTCACTTGATTGCTTTTCTTTATTGATATACTATATTTCATTCTCTATAATATCCTTGGTTAAATATATCAACACAATGAACATGGCAAAACTATATACACATTAACTTACCTGCTAGTCACTATGGCTTGCTGATCATATTTTTCTTCAAAAGTATGCAATGTTAATACTTGTGGATCTCCCTTTTTATGTTCATTCCTACTTATAAAATCTATCTCCAGAGTACAATCATGAAAATCTATAATAATGAGTGCGGATGATTACGTAAATATATCCCAGAGAAAAGGGAGGCATTCATTGTAACCAAAGAAAGAAAATTGGATAGTCTAATTCCAGAGATTATAAGCCATGCATTTTCTGAAAAACAGTTTTGCACTGCTTGGTAATCTCTGATATCTGATCATTAGGTTTTTATGCATAAGAGGGGGATGGGAAGGAATGTTTGTTAAGTAGAGTGGTGATCTCTTATCAGAATTTTGGGATATAATTGAGTTTTCACTGCTGGCCCTTTGAGGATAAACCATTGCCAATATCAGTTGCTATTAGGGATATGAAGAAAGTGAAAAGTTTGATGATAACATGTTTTATGCGAGGATTATCAATTATTAGATAAACCTAGGATATTGTATGGTATAATACTAGATGTATTTGAACCATTAGATGAAGATGAACAGTTATTTAGAAAACATTTTATCCAATGATGTTAACTCCATTAGCATCATAGAATGACGCCAATTATTAGTAGACTTCGTATAAGCTTCCTTTAAAGACGATTTTAGAAAATGAAAAATCATGAAAGCTTAATTTACTATAAAAGAGTGATGAGCATTGTTAATGTTTGGGTACTCATAAAACTAGTAAAAATTCATATGAAGAAAAAAAAAATTAACATATTTGTTTAGTTGTAGTTGAAAGGTGTCGACTTGATCTTGAGCTTTTTGTAACTCTCACAACAACTATGTTGAAACCTTATGTCAAATACAAACTGGAAAGCTCTATTTACAGTACTTGAAATGCTGAGTTTGGTGATTTATTCAGTTCATTTCTTTTGTTCTTGTGCAGGAAATATGGATTTCTTGCTATAATGGGGCTTATGGTATGCACAATTTCGTTTGGGATACAGCAGCTTCGCGGATAAACCTCTGCACCTCTGCGGTTATTAATCTTTAATATCCCATGACTTGCCATCTCCATATATATCCTCTTTTTATAAATATATCTTTTGTTTTTAGGTGGCAAGGACTGCAGTTTTATGTTCTACGTTATACTAGAATTATAAATCTGAAAGATAGTTGAATGATAAGGTTTTCTATATACTGCCCTCTGTTCTGTAATGGTAAAGATTGACTAATTTTGTGAAAAATAAATATTGCCCTTGTGGATTTTGCTTGTTATTGTGAAATTGAAGAATTGTATGTTTCAATTCATTGATTTATCACTAAGGAGTTACAGTGTTTATATAGGGAGTGTACGATCTCTTGAATCTCCTAATATTACGTAATATTGGGTGGAGATTACATAATATCTAAAACATTCTGAGATCGTATACTTGACATAACTACAAGATTGCACAATATTTAGGAAATCTCAACAGTTATAATCTCTTCATAAGATATTGTCATAATGTTCAATAACTAGAAATTTGTTGATGAAAACGAGTCACGTTAGTGCTATACTAAAAAGTATCTCATCCACTACATACTTGATTTCAAAAGCAGATCAAAGTTGTGATGAATTTTTGGCTTAATTTGGACTTTCGTGTGCATACTCAAAGATGAGATGAGAATAGCCAAACAATTAATGAAACAAGATAGGAAATTAAAGGAGACTTTGGAGTGTTGAGAATTTATAATCGGCATTGCTTTATGAACCAGTAGAGAAATGATGATTTTGCTTTAAGAAAGCAAGCGAGGAAACAATTCTCAAGTTATCTTGATCAAATCTTAAATACTCAAAGTTGTTCAAAACAAACCCCCAAATGTTTGGTCTTAAAATATTAATTCGTTGCTCACCTAGCTGTGCCGATATAGATGGATGGAAAGAGGATAGTCATTCCTTTTGAGTGAGAAATGAGGGTCTTGACTTTGAATTCAAGTTGTGGCAAGGGTAAGGGGTGGCCACCAATTATCATACCCAAAAAAAAATTGTTTTATCACGAGAGAAAGTTTTATGTGTATTCTATTGCAATACAATATAAATGATAAAATAGGTTTGTATCATTGGAGTTATATATTCTCATTAGATGGTTGTATTACAACAAAACGTACAAAAGGACTTTCTCAAAGCTCACACATCAGCTGATCAGCACCTAAAAACAAAAACAAGACATGTTTCATTAACTACTTTGCCCTTGTCAAAAATGTCTTTGAAAACAACATGTACAAAATGTGATAATTTAAGAAAATTTCAAGGTCAGTGATTATTTCTCTTCAATCATGGGTGTTAGGTGTAATATCCTTAAACCTTAAGGGAGGTCATCTTCTATATCTTAATAAGTGCCCACTAAATTACTAGGTCACTCTTAGCCTCTTAGGCATTACAAGGGTGAGCACGGGTAGCGGGTAAAACCAAAACTTGCGGGTAGAACCAGAACCGAAACCTACCCGGAACTGACATTGTATGGGTAAATTTCGGTTCCATTTTTTTGGACCTGACACTGTGCGGTTCGGATTCTGGTTCCTACATGTGGAGGAATCGAAATCAGAACCTGAAAAAAAGAACCTGCAGCGGGTACCCGGCTTGGAACCTGCTTGGAACCTGTAGCGAGTACCCTGTTTTGGAACCTGGGCTAAAATGAAATATCTGTGAAGAATGGGGGTCCATTGTAGTTTTACATATAAAAAATTTAAAATAGAAAAAGTTAAAGTTTTACAATAACCTAATTAAATAATTATACTTATTACGTATAAACTACTCCATATAATAAACTTAATATATTATAATATATTAATATTAAAATTTTGATTAATTAAGTGTATAATTGGAATTAAGACCAATTAAAAGTGTTTTAATGTTATTAAAATAATTATTTTTGAATAAAATAGTATATTTTATTAAATAATAATCTAATATTTAATTATTTACTTCAATTATCAAGTTCTAAGTATAACTGTAGAAAATTAGTAATTAATTAATTATATATAATAAATTGATAAACATTAATACATTACTAGTTAAATGATTACTTAATCAATTACAACATTACATTATAGTTATGATTACTTAATTAATTATAAGTTTATAACATTATATTAGTAATTTAGTATATTACTTAATTAAATAATTAGAAATTTAATTAATTATAACATCATATTATAGATTTATAGTATAATTACTTAATTAATTATAAAATTACATTATAAACAAATGATTACTTAATTAAATGATTAGAAATTTAATTAATTATAATATTACATTAAAGATTTATAGCATGATTACTTAATTCATTATAACATTATATTATAGTATGATCACATAATTAATTATAACATTACATAATTAAATGATTACTTAATTAATTATGACATTATATTATAAACATTAATAATTTACTACATTAATACAATACCTAATTAAATGATTATAAATTTAATTAATTATAGCATTACATTATAAATTTATAGTATGATTACTTAATTAATTATAACATTACGTTATAAACAAATGATTACTTAATTAATTATAATATTCTATTATAAACATTAGCACAATACTTAATTAAATGATTAGAAACTTAATTAATTAAAACATTACATTATAATTACTTAATTACTTAATTAATTATAACATTACATTATCTTATAATAGCTTAATTAATTATAACATTACATAGTTAAATGATTATTTAATTAATTATAAATTTATAACATAACATTATAAACATTAATAATTTACTACATTAGTACATTACTTAATTAAATGATTAAAAATTTAATTAATTATAACATTACATTATAAATTTATAGTATGATTAGAAATTTAATTAATTATAATATTAAATTATAGATTTATAGTATGACTGTTTAATTAATTTAATTAATTATTTGTGTTTTGGTTTTGATTGAGGAATTTTTTGTGAATTGTGATAAATTGATTGAATTCAATTGTTGCCTAGCGATTAGAGGATTTATGAGTCACATTGGACACAGATGAATAAGTAATTAAAATTTGTTATGGGTGAATTTGTAAACTTTTAAGGTATTTTTGTCATTTTTAAACTAATAGGGGGTAATTAATTTTTTACAGGGTACCTAGGAAAGGAACCGGAACCTGCATTTGTTGGTCCAATTCCTTAAATTTAAGAACCTGCACTGTGTGGTTCTAGTTCTAATTCCTTTTTTTGAGAACCTGCATTGTGCAGTTTCGGTTTTGATTCCCCCGAAAAATACAGGGTACCCGAAACCGCTCACCCCTAATTATAATAAGGTTGTTTAATGGATTTTCTTGAAATTATAAGTGAACTATGGGATAATTTTAAACCCCCGAGATTTGGTCAAAATCAATAAAAGTCCTCAAGTACCAATAATGACGCAAAACTCCTACCGTTTGTCAATTTCGTTAGTTTCCACATAATAAGGATAAAATGACCTTAATGCCCAACTGGCAATACCCAACCCGTAACCCGAATTTTCTTCCTCTCGTTTGTCCTTCTTCCCTTTTTTTTTTTCTTCTTCTTCCTCCTCTTTTCATCTTTTTCTTCTCTCTTTTCTCCTCCTTTCTCCTACCTTTTCTTTTTTTTTCCTCTTTCCTTCTCCTTCTCCTTCTCCTTCTCTTTTTCTTCCTTTCTTTCTTTCCTCCTACTCAGTCACTCCCTCTATGTGCCGCAGTTTGGTAGCCCAATCCACCCAAGCGGTGGCCATATCGTGGCTATATCTACACAACCAACATTTTTTTTTTTTTTAGTTGTGAGTTCAATAAAATTTGATTTGTTATGAGTATTAAAGATTGGGGTTAGTTATACCTAGCAGTCTTGTCTTCGAGTCCAATTACTGGGTTTGTAATTAAAAAAAAAAAAATGGGTGCGGTGGTGAATTAAGAGCATGGGTAGCTGATAGAATCAGAACTGGAACCTACCGGGAATTGACACTATGCGGATGGGTTCTGGTTCCAAATTTTTTGAACCGACATTGTGTGGGTCCGATTCTGATTCTGATTCTGGTTTTTACATGTGGAGAAACTGAAACAAGAACTAGAACCTGGGATGAGAATCGGAAGCGGATACGTGGTTTGGAACCTACTTGGAACGAAGGGTGGGTACCCAAATTGGAACCTGTGTTGGAACCGAGGTCGGGTACTCGGTATGGAACCTGTATTGGAATATGGGACTAACAAAATATCTATAAACAATGGGGAGTCTATCGTGATTTTACATATAAAAAATTTAAAATGGGACTGACCTTTGTTTTAATGTTATATAAAAAATTAAATTTTCACAATAACCTCATTAATATATATACAATTATACATATAAACTTCACCATTTTAAAAACTTTAATATATTATAATAATCTAATCAAATATAAAGTAATATATATATTAAATAAAGTAATATATATATTAAAATTTTTACATATAAAAAACTTTAATATATTGTAATATTAAATTTTTATTAATTAGTTGATTAATTAAGTGTATAATTAGAATTAAGATCCAATTAAATGTGCTTTAATGTTATGAAAAGAACTATTTTTGAATAAAATAGTATATTTAGTTATTTACTTCAATTATCAATTTCTAAGTATATCTATAGTAAATTAGTACTTAATTAATTATATATGATAACTTGATAAACATTAGTATATTACTAGTTAAATGATTACTTAATTAATTATAATATTACATTATAGATCTATAATATGATTACTTAATTAATTATAATATTATATTATAAACAAATGATTACTTAATTAATTATAATATTACATTATAAATATTAGTAATTTACTACATTAGTACATTACTTAATTAAATGATTGCAAATTTAATTAATTATAGTATTATATTATAAATTTATAGTATGATTACTTAATTAATTACAACATTACATTATAAACTGTGATGAATTGATTGTATTCAAGTGTTGCCTATAGATTAGAGGATCTATGAGTTACATTGGACACAGATGAATAAGTAATCAAAAGTTAAAAACTACTAAATGCAGGTTTTCTTAATTTGTTAGGGGTGTATTTGTAAACTTTTAAGGTATTTTTGTTATTTTTTAAACTAACAGGGGGATAATTGATTTTTTATAAGGTACCCGGGTATAGAACTAGAACCTGCATTTCAGGTTCCAATTCCATGAATTTAAGAACCGGAACTGACAGGTTCCGGTTCATTTTACTGGGAACTTGCACTGTGTAGTTCCGGTTCTCCCAAAAATTGCAAGGTACCCAAA